TACCAAAACATGTTAACAGATGGTCCTTGTTGTTACCCAGTCTGGTGCTCAACATTAAGGGGCTAAGACAAGGACCGGCTGGCTCAGAGTCGGTATACTGTGTCTGAGTGGGGTATCCATGTTAAAATGCGGCACGGTATCTCAGTAGGCTAGCACTATAAAATCGGCATTAGTCTGGACTTGTTCCAGCAGCCGTACACACACGTGCATGCACGTAGCTATATATAATGGCAATAATCTTGAATGCAACGAATTTGAACCCCATACCACCTCACCTATCACTCCTTCATTATGCTTTCAACTGTTTCAAGGCTACACACCAGTCATCTTCCTGAGGCAAGAGAGTTAACTGACTTTAAAAGTCCAGTTTCCACCCTTGCCGAACTAGGCTGGAATTACTGGGCTCGATCATAGCGCCACCAGTGGCTATTACCAATTATGTCCCTTCTAAGCCTCTCCTAAGGACCAATCAGATTCCACCTCTCGTATCACTTGCGTTTGCTTCACACAAAATGGTTGCGCCCGGTCAGGATGATCTGATCGATAATCAATATCTGTATTGTGATAAAACGGGTCTTACATTGCGAAATGCATCAAATCACGTGAGCATCTTGATTAAAAACATGAGAAGATTTGGAAAATATCTGCTGACAACGAGTTGGTGGTGCACATGCTTTGCAAATCCATGCAATCGACCGAAATCTGCACGACAGTTTACGAACCGGATTTCAATTTCGGTGTGCGATTTTGATTGGACTATGCATAGACTTGTTAGTCCAGCCAAAATGTAGCTCCATAATACCAGCCTAGTTCGGCAAGGGTGGAAACTGGACTTTTATAGTCATTTAACTCTCTTGCCTCGGGAAGATGCACACCGGTGGTCTGAAAATGGCTGCATTATTTTGGTGGTCTCCATTTGCAGATTTCAAAAACCTTACTGACTCAGTGCTGGTAATATGGTCTGCTAATTATATGTCATGATTGTTAATTATGTTCAGTATAACATGAGCCAATTACAAAGAAAATAGAGTATTATCTTCAAAGTACAACAGATGTACGAACAAGAAACAAATTACGCATCTTGAAATGCTAGATAGAATTTTCACATGATTATGGTAAAACCAATCAGATTATCTATGAAAAAACAGATTGTATCAAAAATATACTTATCTGACAGACCACAATGAGTTCACGTTTGACTTCATATCTTATTACACTAGGTAGAACATGCTTATTGAAACACAGTACACCAAGAGTTCTTACTTAGGGCTCCCAAAATATATGTTGACAGTTTCACTTAAACATTTTTCTTATTTTTCTCGAGTTGCACTGTAGCTCATGTCACCATTGCGGTGTTGTCAGTATTCTATGGCACTTGCATAACTTTGTGGCGCCTCACTATAGATAAACGGGTAAATAAAAATAAAAATGAGGTACAGTCTGTTACCGTATATGACCGCGTATAAGCCGAATTTTGAGGACCAGAAAAAAGGTTCTGTAGAAAGGGGTCGGCTTATCCACGGGATACACTTTCAGGATAGTATTTTTCAGATCGTGATCTGTCAGAAACATCGCCTGAAAGACGGTCCGATAGATTACAACTTCCCGAAAGTTTGGTATTGAATAGGCCGAAGTAGGAAACACATATTATATCCCTTGCTATATAAGTACAAGAGTCTTGGAACACGGTGTTAAACCCCATTTCCCAACACCCACCTCACCTTGAAGGTTTGCCCATATAAAGTTAAGTTTTGTGAGGATTCGGTGACATTTCTTTGTTGACTACCACTGTTAGCATTTGGTTGATGGCAGCAAGTGAAAATAAGGATTTGTTTCTAACCCTGAAAGTACCTGTACTCCGCGTTTGTGTTTCTCATCATATATACATGTGCACAAACAGTAACCATGACAACAACAAAAAAAACACAACAAAACAGAATGTTTAACAAATGACACAAGTTATTTCAAGGCAATAAGGAGGACAGGCAGACAAATTAGAATACAAGGTGAAATAATTTGTACAGTGCAGTCATGGTATAATATCATTCATTATATCACTAGTTAGAATGAGTTTCATTAAGACACTCTCACTTTGATCAAATAAGTACCGTATTCAACGTAATAAGCGCCCAGGGCGCTCTCAAAATTAGAAATAGGGGGTGCTTATTAGAATATTATTTTGAGTTGAAAGATCGTAAATTTCGTGGTTTATGCTAACAGCCTGAAGTGTTTACATACGACAGATATATTTTTCAAGAATTTAATTGCCCATAATTAAGGGTAATATAACACACGAGTGAGTATTATACACAAATAAATAAGTCTTGTGTACATTGATCAGTCGGAAGGGGTGCTGATTGGGATTGTTCACTAGCCAATATATTAGCAAATATCGCCGTGGGTGCTTATTAGAGCGGGGCGCTTATTACGTCGAATAGGGTACTTGTCTTTTGAGTTATTTAAATCGTTTATTTAAGAAATAATAGACGAGTGGGAGTTATTTTTCGTACAATAAAACACTGTAGGGAGAATAAACCATGAGGAGCGCAGACCTGTGTGGTTTATTCTCCCTGTGCATGCATTGTTTTATTGTACGATTAACAATGACCACGAGTCATTTAGTTCTTATATAAGATATCAACATTATGTACAACCTCTTTAAGGACGATGATGAAATGTACAAGCTTTACAAATATTTTCCCGTATTTTGATAATGAAGACTCCCTCAATAGAATCTGACCTCGGCAATGTTGGACAAGTTCCTTTTATCTACAGGTGGGTATTTTCACAACCTCACATCGATTACCTGTACCTTTTTTCCAGTGATGATTGTCATATCAGTCTCTCGCTTTTGGATGTGATGTCCAATATATGACGTTATCAAGTTGCGAACGCATGTTCGAATCTCCAGAAATCCAGTCATGATAGAACAATGTTTTATCGTGAAATAAACCACACTTCGTTCTTCATTGTTCTTTGTGATCTATCTTTTATAAATATATATACACTCTGTACACCAAAGTGTGAAGAATTATTTTGCATTTAGAATTATTTTTCTCCCTTACAAGATTTCAATTCTTTTAAAAAAGAAAAGTTTAGGAATACAAATTTCAAATTTTCAAATTTCCTTCATGTTGAAATGAAAAATCATCTCATTCAAAAGTTTATGGTCATTGTTTCTCTAAAGATGACTGAATTCATTGTTTGAATAAGTACATGACATTACCAACAGGGTGTGAAAAACAGTTTTGCAATCTCATTCATATCAGATCTAAGAGCTTGCTACTGTTACACCAAAGATCTGAGGACATCCGAGGGAAGTTAAATTTGGGTGCATCTTCACTCTGTCCAGATGGACATTCATTGTTCTGTACCATTTTTTATATCTGCCTTAGACCCTTCCGTCAAGGTTGTGTTCAGTGCTATTGATCTGTTGCCTCCTGTTGAAGTCAAGAAGGTGTTCTGTAAGACTAGTTACTTGTCAACAGCTCCTGCTGAAGTCAAGAAGGTGTTCTGTAAGACTAGTAACTTGTCAACAGCTCCTGCTGAAGTCAAGAAGGTGTTCTGTAAGACTAGTTACTTGTCAACAGCTCCTGTTGAAGTTAAGAAGGTTTTCTGTAAGACTAGTTACTTGTCAACAGCTCCTGTTGAAGTCAAGAAGGTGTTCTGTAAGACTAGTTACTTGTCAACAGCTCCTGCTGAAGTCAAGAAGGTGTTCTGTAAGACTAGTTACTTGTCAACACCTCCTGTTGAAGTCAAGAAGGTGTTCTGTAAGACTAGTTACTTGTCAACGGCTCCTGCTGAAGTCAAGAAGGTGTTCTGTAAGACTAGTTACTTGTCAACACCTCCTGTTGAAGTCAAGAAGGTGTTCTGTAAGACTAGTTACTTGTCAACGGCTCCTGCTGAAGTCAAGAAGGTGTTCTGTAAGACTAGTTACTTGTCAACAGCTCCTGCTGAAGTCAAGAAGGTGTTCTGTAAGACTAGTTACTTGTCAACAGCTCCTGCTGAAGTCAAGAAGGTGTTCTGTAAGACTAGTTACTTGTCAACAGCTCCTGTTGAAGTTAAGAAGGTTTTCTGTAAGACTAGTTACTTGTCAACACCTGTTGAAGTCAAGAAGGTGTTCTGTAAGACTAGTTACTTGTCAACGGCTCCTGCTGAAGTCAAGAAGGTGTTCTGTAAGACTAGTTACTTGTCAACAGCTCCTGCTGAAGTCAAGAAGGTGTTCTGTAAGACTAGTTACTTGTCAACGGCTCCTGCTGAAGTCAAGAAGGTGTTCAACAATGAAAGCAATGATTGTTGATTGTCATTGCATGGCATCTGTAAATAATGATATGACTCAAAACATAAACACAAGCAAAAAACACTCAACCTGTAATATTCTCTATCATGTACATGTTTAATAAAACTGCCCTTTGTGAGGTCCCAATACATTGTCTGATTGGATTGGGGCAGGTAAAATTACCAACAAGAATGTATACATTGTAGTGATTCAAACTGACCCTTATGATAATGACCCGCCTTACTGAGTGATACTAGTGTTTGTCCCCTTGACTAATATTTCTGATAGCTCACCTATCATTTTCATATGTAAAGGTCTCTACATATCCACAATAATGTGGAGTTCTGACATTGTTTTATAAGTAAAGCCCTGCCTAATCATGACTGATTAATGTTCTTATTGGCTTTGACTGTTTCACTCCATTGTCGTCATGACTGATTGTTCAGTGTCAGTCACAGAGTTATTGACTGTTTCAAGCCTTTGGGGGTCATGACTGACTTTTGCTCATGTGTGTGTCGACTGTTTCACCTTGTTCTAGACATGACTGATCGTTCCGTGTCAGTCATGGAGGTGTCGACTGTTTCATGCCATTGTCGTCATGACTGACTATTGTTCACGTGGTTGTCGACTGTTTCACCTTGTTCTAGACATGACTGATCATTCCGTGTCAGTCATGGAGGTGTCGACTGTTTCATGCCATTGTTGTCATGACTGACTATTGTTCACGTGGTTGTCGACTGTTTCACCTTGTTCTAGACATGACTGATCGTTCCGTGTCAGTCATGGAGGTGTCGACTGTTTCATGCCATTGTCGTCATGACTGATATTGTTCACGTGGTTGTCGACTGTTTCACCTTGTTCTAGACATGACTGATTGTTCCGTGTCAGTCATGGAGGTGTCGACTGTTTCATGCCATTGTCGTCATGACTGATATTGTTCACGTGGTTGTCGACTGTTTCATCTTGTTCTAGACATGACTGATCGTTCCGTGTCAGTCATGGAGGTGTCGACTGTTTCATGCCATTGTCGTCATGACTGATTATTGTTCACATGGGTGTCAACTGTTTCAGACCCGTGAAGATCTGGGTTATAATAGGTCTTGTCTAAAGAATCAACTCTGCTTGTCGTAAGAGCCGATTGACGGAAGTGAGTAGCCAGGCCCAGCTGACTTGGTTGATGCACGTCATCGTATCCCAATTGCGTGGATCGATGATCATGATGTTAATCACTGGATTGTCTGGTCCAGATTTGATTATTACAGACTGCCGTCATATAGCTTGAATATTGCTGAGTGCGGCGTTAAACAACAAACAAATAACTGTTTCACGCCATGGGGTCATGACTGATTATTGTTCACATGGGTATCGAGTCTACTATCAACTGTTTCACGCCATTGTGGTCATGCGAGAAGGTTGGGACAAACTTTGGCTGCTGGCCGCAGTGCTGGACAAGGAAATGTTCCCATTAAGTGCAGTCTTCTTCACTCGTACCTTCTGAAACTGCTTGCCATTAGAATTCTTCCTTAATGACTTCCTCCACCGATTCAACATCATTTTGAATACTCGCACAAACTTGTTATTGAAAGCACAATACAAGACAAAGTTGAGTGACAGGTTGCAACAGATGAGCATGTTGGAAATCATCTGAAGGATCCTGTATGGCGTGGATCGAAGGAATTCATCAATAGGACGTCCATTACCGAAAAGAGCATACGCACTTGGACGGTCGGCAAAAGCAGACGGCATGACGCAGATGATGAACAGACAGACGATGCTGATGAGGGTTATTGTGAGGCGCATTTGTTCTCGGTTCCATGTGGCTTCTTTGTTGTTTCGGATGTGGAGAACCTGGCGCTGGCGTTTTGCTCGTTGCACTGCATATACCAGGTAGACGTTGGAGATGCAGAGCACGGTGAGGGGTATGAAGTTGATGATGATGCTGTAGAACCAGTTGATGATGCTGAATAACTGAGTCTTTCTAAAGTCAGTGGAATATAGGTAGTACTTTGGGTCATCAGGGTTGAACTTGTATTCAACACGGAAAGCCAGGAATCTTGGAATGTTTATGATGCCAATGCAGGTAATGATGATGGCAACTTTTACATTGGCGCCAGTTCTGCTACAGTGTATTTTGGCCCAGATGGGGTAACAAACAAACAGGAATCGTTCGATAGTGAGCATGACAATCAACCAGACGCTGGAATTGGAACAGATATTTACAAGAGGATAGTATAAGTGGGCCTCGAAAAAACGCCAGTAGTAACTGAATGGCCGGTTACGAGCGAACACAAAGTATATGAAGGTCAAGGCCAAAGCACCCAAGTCAACAGACGCCATGGCGGTGAGATAAGAGTAGGGGGACTCTTTTAGGTAATGTTCTGTGAGAATTAGAAGGTTGAGGATGTTGCAGAGGATGCCGAACACACAAATGGCTGGACCGATGTAGTCGTAGCTGATGTGTTCCAGCATGGAGGCCACCTGGGATTCGTTACTGATATTCATCGTGAAAGACTTTGGTCAGCTTCTATGTTCACTCTGGAATTGGCAGTGTCCCATCTGGACCTGAAAATACAAACAATACTATTTACCTCGAAACTAGCTGTATATCAGGGAGAACATCGGACATGTAGCAATCTTTGTGTTTTGAATGTGTGATTAGATAATGTATTTTCAAATTATGTGTAATTGTGTAATAATAACACCATCTTCGTTTAACATATGTTTTATGTCTCCATTCTATGCTAGAAAATACCTTAGAGCCATTTAAAAAACATTTTGTTTGATTTCATGTATGCGATGCTAATAATAGCCATACAATCAAATTACATTCACAAGCAAGAGAATATCTGTGCGAAATTATTGATAGGACAGCTGGAGATGGAGACGGTGACATGACTTTCTAAGTGAACATTTTGGTTCTAAGTGGGTCAGGATATTTGTCTTAATACAATGAATGCCAAAGTCCAATTATGATGCGTCAGATTCCGTTCACCAAGTGTATGCTGTTGGCGCTAGAAACCATTGTTTCCCTTGTCAGTGGTTCAATGCGCTCTCAATTATCATTCTCAGCTCCCAGGGGAGTATACAACCCAAGCTGCCCATGAAACACTAGGTAAACAGTTATGTTACCATCTCATCCTACCAGGTACCCTTTCACTGCAGAAACAAAGTCTCCTACATAACAGGAAGTGTAACAGGAATTATTATCCTGGAGTGCCTTATTTTAAAGGTCTCACAGCCAAACATGAACACCCATACTACATATCCATACAGACCCATGAAGAACCGGGTTAGAATAGGACTTCAGCACCCCAGGCTTGTCTAAAGAATCAACTCTGCTTGTCTTAAGAGCCGATTGACGGAATTTAGTAGCCAGGCTCGCTGACATGGTTGATGCATGTCATCGTATCCCAACTGCGTAGATCAATGCTCATTACGTCAATCTCTGGATTGTCTGGTCCAGACTTGATTATTTACAGACCACTGTCACATAGCTCAGGAATATTGCTGAGTGTGGCGTTAAACAACAAACAAACCTACATATCTTTATGAACATTTAAGGTCGGATCATATGTTTTCGGACATCATACGTTTTCGGACGGCCATGTTTATTGCGTTTACTCGTGCTGTGACAAGGGGTGTGATGTCACACAGACATTGTAAATACTCAGATGATGGCTTGTTTTCAATATAAAGTAAATATCAATGTTTAGCAAAAGTAAATATGTCGTAATCAGTTCTGTGATGACTGTGGGTGTATTGAAAGTCCATAGCAGGGTTTTATTGTAACCTTCAAAACTAGGGCATCCCAATATTTGATTTTAATCCTTGTAGAAAATATGAGTGTCATGTAAAGTAGTGAAATGGTGTACTGTAAGGTAAGAATTGATATTTACTTTAATCAAAGGACTTTTTGATATTTCTTGTCAAGAATTTGGTTCAATGAATATTATTGTGCAACATATTTTTGTATTGAGTCTATTCTGTACATGCGTGCGCACTGGATGCACCATCTTTTATTATGAACATGGAGTGCATAGGCTGTTTTAGAATTCTTTCTTTTTTTTTGTTTTATACATTTTATTTCACCTTTTCCCTGTTACATGAGGAGGATGGCCATCCAGGGCAATGGTCACCCTCACATTCTGAAGACAATGTATGTATACATTTGGGGAAAATTAAATACAAGTATTGGAAATGGTGCCAAGGTGATTTTTAAGAAATATAACAAAACATACACACAGTCAAGCATTCAAAATATTATTCAAACACTGATCCTGGCAAGAAACAAATATGAGAAAGAGATACATATGTTATTGCTGTTCTGCTTCTTCAAACAATATGTGATAAAAGATCCATGATTTATAAAATGTAGCTACATTACCATTTGTAAAGGCTATATTCTTCTCAATTTTGTATCTCAGACTAACATCTTTTTGAAATATTGCGAAGCAAAGATTTGTTTTTTTGAATCTGCAAAAATATATAAAAGATTTAGCTATTAAAATAAGAAGATCAAAAACTTTGTCAGTAACAATATTTTCTTTAACACCAAATAAAACAAGTTCAGCACTTAATTTCATATGATGTATATGGCTACATTTATTTATCCAATCTAAGAAGGTTTTCCAAAATACTTGTACAAGTTCACATTCCCAAAAAATGTGTACAATAGTTTCATCATAACATTTGCAAAAAATTTTTAGAATTCTTGATTTACAAGTTATTATTATGTAATCAGGATGGTCATCATCATGGTTATAATACATGTCCGACTGTAAACACATGCCAGTGTTTCACAACTGCAAGATAAATGAGAAACTAAGCAGATTGCCATGACACACAATTCAACTCACAGCAGTATAGATCATACAAGAATCTCTTTGATAGTCAAAAGATATATTGTACATTGGTACTTATTAGTTATGGCAGCACAGGGCACATATAGCACATTCAGTGTGCTGGACCACCTCCGTGGTTTGGTGTATGAAGGGTTTGCCTGGAGAGCGGAAGCTTGGTGGTTCGATCCATCTGCGTCACCATTTTACCTCACTCATATTCAGTTCAGTCTTATGAGCTTGTCTTCACCAATCCCACTTCACAATGTTAAGGATGATAATATTAAAAAGAATTGAATAATCAAAGATTAATGTTGTGGTCTATGATTGAAGATCATGACTCCACGCCCTTGATGTATATGTTACTGTTGTAAGTCATGACTAAGTACATCACCTTGACGTTGTTCTCCGTGTGAAATTCAACACTCGTCACATCTGGCGTACGACGAAGGAGGTATTGAGAGTCAGCATGGAACAAATAACCAACAAAGGATATTTACTAGTCAATACACGATTGTGAATGGATGTTTTCGCCTGCCATTGATTGGATAACTCGCCCACAGCTGAGTCTTGACACTGAAGTCTACCGTCAAACAGGAGACAGGAAACGTATAAGGGACCGGTCATTAATTAACGAAGGGGTGGGTCAGCGGTTTTTGATGCACTAATGTACTGAAAATAATGACCCTAATGCTATTATATGTTTGGATGACCCTTCCCATGTCCTTGTACGTTTTTTTACGACCTTCCTCGAAAAGACAAAATGCAAAAGCACTTTGTTTATTTATAAAATGTAAATCTTTTCATGATCCTTCCCAATATTTGTATTAGTTTTTATGACCCTCCCCCAGAGACTGTCATATCTCGTAGGACCATCCCCTGGCTCCCTCTTAATGATTCACACCTAAAAATGATAATCAAATTGAAAAATATATAAATAGAGAATCTCACCCGAGTGTCTTTTGATATCAAATATATCAACACAAGTTGATAAATGTGGGAAAACTCTGAGGCTTGCCGAGTTTTTTTTCCACTTTTATCAACGAGTGTTGATATATTTGATATTAAAAGACACAAGGGGGAGATTTTATTTATCATCCAACATCATTCTTCCAACTTTTTCAGTTTGTAGACAGTAATAAGCAGTGTCTTAAGTGTAAAAAGTACTGTTAACAGCTTAACAGCAGATGTCATTTGATTGTGATGTCATGGTAACCAATGATGTCACAATGGTCTGCAAAGCATTGTGATGCAATTTGATTGCAGCGATATCTACAGTGTAGATATCGCTTGATATCCTGTGGGAGCCAGTTTTGGATGATAAATATTTGTTCATGAACAGTACTTGGAACATTGATAGTTGACATATTGCTGTAAACACTGACAGAAACCATTGTGACTTTTCAAACAAATTTCAATGGCAAACTGTTTATTTTTCCTGACCCACACCTAAAACTAAAACAGATAAGAGGATAATGTCATTTTATGTTACGACCGACCCAAAATAAAAAATGTGAAAATATCTGTAAAGCTAAAGAAATATATGTATGGCATTATTATTTCAGGGCTCGATTGAAAGAACTTGAATTAACTTGCAACGGGTGATTGTTAACATGAAAACTTAGTCGCACCAGACAATACCAGGTTGCACCCTGGTCCCATAAATTTGTCAGAGTTGAAACAATGGATGTCACATAAATTAATGATGCATGGCTGTAAAACGTAACAGGAACATGTGCACAAAGTCTTGAAGTGCCCCCAGTTTGATGATGTCAAGCCCAAGAAAGGATGACAAGTTACACATAGTACAGGGACTAGTGATGTGGTATGGTAAATAAAACTTAGAGGTATTGAGTGTGTTCAAAGATTGATGCTGTGTGGACAAGTAAGGGTTTAAGTCTGACGCAAATTTGAATTTTTTTACATGCATGTGGACATAAATATCAGATTGCATTTGTCAGTAATGGGTTGCACTGGTGCAGGAATTATATAGCTGAATCGAGCCCTGTATTTAAAAGCCTTATTTACCTCCAGTGAAGTCATGCTATTGTTCTCCAGTCGTATTAAATCTCATAAACAGGGATGTTGTAATAGTCACAGGATTTTATATAATATCCCAGGCATATCTGCTATATAATGTTTTAATACCCCAGGATTTTATTAATACAACTTCTGTTTAGATTATAACGTATGAATGTTTCTCACCAGAAATTTATTTTTCACATTTGAACACAATGAAATGTAAATTGAAATGACAAATGTTTTCTTCATATTCTTGTGGATCGAACACGCAACCTTCGTTCCACTAGGCTACAGAGGCGCTGATAAATCACAATGCTTTTAAGAATGTCTATTTCAAGTACCGTACGCCAGCAACAGATATTTAACGCCCTGTTTCCTGAGGTTTATTTAAAGAATGTTTGAAACATAAATAGTTGATAAATGGTTTTTTGTTTGTAGGCTAGATTAAACATTTCCCCTCGGGTTTTGATGATATTTGAGACACTTATCCCCTGGATGCGTGTTTTGAATAACATAAAAACCCTCAGACATGCTATATCCTTTGCATAAAACTTGTCATTTTTTTAATGTCGTCTATTGTTAGTTTCTGTTGTCAAGGTAATGACAATGATAACTTCTGACAGGGTTGTGGTTGGATTAGAGATATGATTTTATGACAGAATGACGAATCACATGAGTACTATGTGTAATCAATATCCGGTT